TTTATGTTAGATATGTGTAGTTTATTTTAGTTATGTGTAGTTTATGTCAGTTATGTATAATTTATGTTAGATATGTATAATTTATGTTAGATATGTGTAGTTTATTTTAGTTATGTGTAGTTTATTTTAGTTATGTGTAGTTTATGTTAGTTATGTATAGTTTATTTTAGTTATGTGTAGTTTATGTTAGTTATGTATAGTTTAGTTATGTATAGTTTAGTTATGTATAGTTTAGTTATGTGTAGTTTAGTTATGTGTAGTTTAGTTATGTGTAGTTTATGTTAGTTATGTATAGTTCACATCAATGTGAAGAAGATGAAGGAGATGATTGTGGACTTCAGAAGGAACAAACACATCTACACCCCCCTGAACATAAGAGGATCTGCGGTGGAAGTGGTCTCCAGCTACAAGTACTTGGGTGTACACATGAATGACAACCTCAGCTGGAGCAACAACACCACCAGCCTGATGAAGAAAGATCATCAGAGACTCTACTTCCTCAGGCGGCTGAGACGAGCTGGTCTGGAAGCTCAGTCCTCACCTCCTTCTACAGGTGTGCAGTGGAGAGCATCCTGTGCTCCAGCATCAACGTGTGGCATGGAGGCTGCACAGCTTCAGAACGAAAAGCTCTGCAGAGAGTGGTGAAGGCTGCACAGAAGATGTTGGAGTCAGTCTCCCCACCATCACAGACATCTACACCTCCAGATGCAGGAAGAGGGCCACCTGCATCATGAAGGACCCCACTCACCCAGCACACACACTTTTTGCCCCACTCCCCTCAGGAAGGAGGTTGAGGAGCATTAAGTGTAGAACCACTAGACTGAGGAACAGCTTCTACCCTGAGGCTGTTAGACTCATGAACATCTAACCAGAATAATCACTGTGAAAAACCATATCATGTTGCTGCTGATCTGTTTCATGTTGCTGCTGATCTGTTTCATGTTGCTGCTGATCTGTTTCAATGTTGATGTGTTCATGCGTGCACATCTGCTCACAGACTCATGTTCATGTTTGTGCTGATGTTCAATGTTTTATGTTATGAGTGCTTAGTGTATATTTAGTTGATGTTTTTCTTAGTTCATATCTTTGATGTTATTACTGTTTTTCTTAGACATTTTATTGTTGGATGTAACTGGGACCCTGTGAACATAATTTTGCTCCACCACATGTACCACATGAGGTGCGAATGACAATAAAGAAACTCTGACTCTGACTCTGACTTTATGTTAGTTATGTGTAGTTTATGTTAGTTATGTATAATTTATGTTAGATATGTGTAGTTTATGTTAGTTATGTGTAGTTAGTTATGTACTATATATATCGTGTGCATTTTAACTTATATTACTACCTTGAAAATACTTATTCATACTAATTCATCCTGCTGCACTGTTAAATTCTACCATGCTGTTGTTTACTATTTCTTTTTAGAATCTTGTAAATTTATTTCTTTTCCACTTTTTGGTATTTTATTTTGTACCCTTATTGCATGCTTTAGTTTTTCTTTTTGATTTTGGCGAGTTGAATCGGTTCTTATCCTGAACATTTTGTTGTATCGTGTACCTTGTGCTAACCTGCATATGACAATAATAAACTTTATAAAATATAAACTAATGGGGGTTTGTGTGTGTGACCTCTGACCTCTGAAAGGACACCATCAGTTCTAGCAGAGACACTTTGAGGGACGGAGGCAGAAAGATCTTTTAGTTGGCTCACCTCACTGTAGAAGTGGGATAACTGTGTAAATGACATTTGTTTGCAAACATCGGAGAAAGATTCATTTCGATTCAATTTTAAAAAAAGAAAGTGACTGTGAGATCATCAGACTCCTTGTTGGACACATTTGTTGTTCAGCTGTGTTCGACTGACTGCTCTGCCACTGCTTTAGGTCCAGGCAGCTGACTTGTCTTCATGCATGCCTGTCTGTTCCCCTGCAGTAAGTACCAGGTGGTAGTGGAGGAGGAGCGCCCCCGCAGGCAGAGGAGGGGTACTGCAGAGATCCTGCGCTGTTATCCAGTTCCCGTTCACGTACAGAACGCCTCGCAGCTCAACTCGCAGTATTACTTCAGCGCTGAGCTGCTGATGAACGAGCTGAGGGCGGCCATGCCCTTCTGTGTTGGTCAGTTCCTCCATCTTTCACAGTCATTACGTCAGTAAACTTGTATCTTTACTTAGCTGTCTTACCCAGAGTTAGTCCCTTTCTGTCATGTAGCTGGAGGTGATGCTTGTATGACAACAGGTCAGTCAGTTAACTAACTGCTAGTTTCTCTCTAACTCACAGGTACCAGGTGTGTTAGTCATTAAGATTCAGTTCTATGTTTCCATATTATTTGTTAAAGAATCAATCTGCTATCAATCAAACTATGTCGTTAGTTAGGAGTGTACGTCAGTGCTCATCTTAAGACTACTTATGTGTTGTCAGTTAGACAGGAATGCAGACAGGTGAGTTCACCTGTTTACCTGTGTGTCCAACAGGAGACAACAGAACCTACAACGGTTACCGGAACGCTCCACTTCTGCCTCACAAGAGTTATGGGATCTACTATCAGGCCGTGAGCTCTGCTAACGGGGTGAGTGCACGAACCGTCCAATCAGAGAGCTCCAGGTCAGACTTCTGGTCAAGATGGCGCGTGTGTACATGGCTTGTCGTTTGTCTCTACGCACGATTTGTTTGTTTGTGCTGCTTGTGCTGATTTTTAACTCCCTAATGGTGTATGATAACTGAACTTTGCTGGATATTGCACTTGCTGAAAGAAATCTGTCTACGTGGGACTTCACCAGACACGGGACGGGAATTCTCTTCCCCCCCACTCCTGTCAGGGATCCCAGCTGTTTGGACTCCACCTCTCTGGCAAAAGTGTGCGTGTCACTGCAGCAAATGCAGCGGTCAGCTGGTGAGACTAGAAGCGTTGCTGAGACGCTTTTCTCCAGCTTCTTTGGAAAAGTTTGGATCGGTGCCTTGCCTCTCTCTTCCGCTGTGTGTGCTGGACCCCACCGATGCCAGGCTGGTACCTGTCGGCGGTGGCCATGATGGAACTATTCAGCCGCATGCGCCCTGCTTTCCTCATCCGTGCAGACACAGGCGCGCGCTCCAAAACCTGCAGCCTCTGTGTTGGGACCCGCGGATGTCAGATAAGGACGCAGATCCGCCGCTTGCTGCCAAGATCGGCCTGATTGATGCCAGATCACTGACAAATAAAACTTTTATCATCAAGGATTTATTTTTATCTCAAGGACTGGACTTCTTATTCAAAACAGAATCATGGAC